GGGAAGACAGGGGCGACCCAAGAACACGAGGGCCCCAACACCGACAAGGACACAAGCACCAAGGGCAAGCACAGCCGGGAAAGGAGGAAGGCGGCCCAGGACCGCCAGAAGGCCGAGGCCGACCGAAAGAGGAAACAAGCCGAGGCAACACCGGGGACAAGGGCGGGGGAGAAGCGCGCCCACACGAGGGGGGAGGAGAGGCGGAAGGAAAGGAAAGCGCAGCCCGCGAGGGAGCGGCCCCGAGGAAAGCAGAGAAAAAGGGGGGAACCGAGCCGAGCGCCGCGCCCGACCCGGCGAACGAGAACGAGGACACAACGGAGGCCACAGAGCCCAGCGAAAGAAAGACGGACACGACCCGAGCCACGGGCGGCAACCCGAGGGCGGGAACCGCGACGAGGCACGAGGAGACGAAGAAAGACCCGGGAGGAGCCGGGACACCAAGACAAGAAACACCCGGCGCCGAGCCAGAGAAAGGGGGAAAGGCCGCGGGACCAACCAGGGGACCGAGGAAGCAACGGGGAGCGCAAAGACACAAGGAGGGAACGCGACCCCGAACGGGGCACACCAGGGAACGAAGAGAAAGGCACGCGGCAAGGACCAAGCGGCGGGGACGAAGCGGCCCGAGAAGGGGGGAGAGGGGAACACCCCGGGGGACGACCCCGAAAGAGCAAGGAAAGCAGGGAAGCAAGGACCCAAAAGAAAGAAGGAAAGCACAAGAAGGAAGGAGGAAAGGCCCACCAGAGGCCACGGGCCCGGAGCCCGAAACCCAAGCCGGAGGCCCAAAAGAAAGAGAAGGAGCAAGCCCAGAAGAGGAGGGCCGAACGAGGACGCCGAAAGAGAGAAAGAGGGGACGGAAGAGGCACCGAGAAACCCCCACCACAAGAAGAACGCCCACCACCCAAAGAGCGCCAAGAAGCCCCGGAGAAGAAAGCAAGAAAGCAAGAAAGCGGAAAGAAAGACCCGGCAGAGCCAAGGAAGGAAGGAAGGCGAAGAGGGAACCCAGGGCGCAACAAAACCGAGGGGCAGAGCGAGGAGGCCCCCGGAGGAGGGCCCCAGAGGAGGGGGAGGGAGGAGGGGGAGAGGAGGAGGGAGGAGGGAGGGGAGGAGGCCAGGGGGGAGCGGGAGAGGGGAGAGGCGGGAGAAGGAGGGGGGCGGGAGGAGGAGAGGAGGGCGGGAGGAGGAGAGGGGGGCGGGAGAAGGGAGGGAGGCGGGAGGCGGAGGGGGAGGCGGACCGAAGCGGGAAGGAGAAGACGAAGCGGAGGCGGGGGAGAGAAAAGGGAGGAGAACCCGAGGGGGAGCGGAGGAGAGGAGGCGGGGAGAGGGGGGGGGAAGCGCAGGGGGGGGGGGAGGAGGGGAGAAAAGCAGGAGAGGGGAGGGGCCGGAGGGGCGCGGAGGGGAGCCGGGAAGGGGCGACGGGGGGCGGGAAGGGCGGGGGAAAGGGGCGAAGCAGGGGGGCGGGGGCCACAAAGGGGCCCGGGGCGGGGGGGGGAAAAGAGGCAGGGGGGGGAGGGGGGGGAGGGGACCCGCCACCGACCCGCGGCCGAAGGGGCAGCCGGCAGCGGGCAGCCGGCGGGCGGGCAGCGGCCCGCCGGCACCCGCGGCCCGGAACAGGGAGCCGGCGGGCAGCCGGCGGGGGACCCCACCCACCGGCGACCCGCGGGAAAGGACCCCACGGGGGAGCCGGCGGCCCCGGGGGAGGGGCCCCGACCCCCGGGGGGCCCAACGGACGCCGGCGAGCGGGCCGAGGGCGAGGGGAGAGGGCGGGGACCGGGCGGAGGGGGAGGAGGCGGAGAGAGGGCAGGCGAGGGGAAGGGGGAGCCCGGGGACCGAGGGGAAAGAAGGAGGAACCCCGGAGGACGAGGCGGAGGAGGGGAAGGAGCACGCAGAGGGGGGGGAGACGGGGGCGCCCCCGGCCCAAGGGGGAAGGGGGGGGCAGGGCGGGCGAGGGGGAGGGGGGCAGGGAACCCCGAGGGGGGGAGAGCAAGCGGGCGAGACGGGCAGGCGGGGGGGCGGAGAACCAGACCGGCGGGGAACCAGGCGGGGAGAGACCGGGCAGGGAGAGAAAGAGGAGAGAGGACGAAGGGCCACGAGACGGGCAGGCGGAGGGGCGGAGAACCAGACCGGCGGGGAACCAGGCGGGGAGAGACCGGGCAGGGAGAGAAAGAGGAGAGAGGACAAAGGGCCACGAGACGGGCAGGGGAAGGGGCGGAGAACCAGCCCAACGGGGAACCAGGCGGGGAAAGACCGGGCAGGGAGAGAAAGAGGAGGGAGGACAAAGGGCCAGCAGGCGGGGGCGAGCGGCGCCGCCGGAAGGGGAGACGGGGCAGGGGGCGGCGGGGCCGGGGCAGAGCGAGAGGCGCGGACCCGCAGGGAGGGGCAGGCGAGGGGGCCGGGGGCGCCAACAAAGGGGGCGAGGGGAGGAGAGAGGGAGGAGGGGGGAGGAGGAGAGGGGGGAGGGGACGAGGGAGGGAGGCGGGGGAGGGGGAGGGGGGGGAGGAGGAAGGGGGCGCAGCGGAGCGGGCGGGCCGGGGGGGAGGGGAGACGCGGGGAGAACGGGGGCGGGGGGCGAGCCGGAGCGGGCGAGGCAGGCCCGGGGGAAAAGCGAGAGGCGCGGAGGAGAGAGCGGCAGGCGGCAAAAGGGGGGCGGAGAGCGAGAGAGAGCGCGAGAGGGAGGGAGGGCAACGCGGGGGAGGGGGGACCAGCAGCGCGCGCGGAACAGAGAGAGGGGGCGGGCAGGCACAGAAGAGGAAGGCACGGGAGCGCGCGAGAAGCGGGGACGGAGAAGGAGAGAGGGGCCCGGGCGGCCGGCGGGCCAGGGGAGGCAGGGACAGGAGGAGGAGAGGAGGGAGGGAGCCGGGGCACCGGAGGGCGCGAGCGCAGGGGGGGCAGAGCACCCCGGACGCGGGAGGAGGGGGGGAGGGAAGGAGAGGGCACCGGGAGGGAGAAGGGGGAAAGAGCGGAAAAGCGGGGGGGGGACAGGGGGGAGCAGAGCCGAAGGGGGACCCGAGGAGAAGACGCGGAAGACCGGACGGGAGGACAGGAGGCGGGAACGCGAGGGAGGAAGGAACAGAGGAGGCAGGAAGCGGAGGACGCGCGGGGAGAGGGGGAAACCGACACAGAACCGCCCCGCACGGGAGCCCGCGCGAAAAGAACGCCCCCGACGCGGACCACACCAAGGGAAGGGGGCAGCACACGGACGCAGCAGGACAAGAAAGAGGGACCCGGAAAACCAGCAGCAGGGCGCCAAGAAGAAGACAGGCAAGGAGCCCACACGCCGCGAAGAAGGAAGCCGAACCGGCAACAAAAGCCGCGGGGGAGGAGAAGGCCCAGAGGAACGCCACGGAGAGAGAGCCGCGGGCGACGGCAAGACACGAGGGGAGCGGGGAGAGGGCCACAAAGAACGGAGGGGCAACAACCGGGGGGGCAACGAAGAGGACCGAGGGGCACGGCGACAAGGACGACGCCACCCCGCACCCGCCAGACGCAGGGACCGCAGGAACCGAGGAGGCCGACCCCACCGGGAGGACGGCGGCAGGGGAGGCAGGGACGACAGCCGAGGCGACGCCCGAAACAAGGAAGGACAGGAAAGGCACCGCCGCAGAACCGGACAAACGCGAAGAGAGCACCAGCGAGACGCGAAGGGCGCCAAAGGCGAAGGCGGGAAGACAGCGGGACCGGCCGGGGCCACGGAAGAACCAAAGAAGGAAGGAAGGGGGACCCCACCAAAGCCCAGGCCGGGAAGGAAGGGGCCACACCGAACGCACGGGCAGAGGGCCGAAGCGGCCGGGGCGGGGCGGGCGACGACAGGAGGGGGGGACCCGACGGGACCAAGAGAGCCCAACCGCGCAGGAAACGCAGGAAAAAGGAGACCCCGGGCCGAGGGGACGACAACGGCGGCGCAGCCGGGCAGGAAGGGAAGGAGAAGGGAACCACGGCACCCGGACGAGCCAGCCCCGCCGGGGGGGAAGGGGGCGAGGGCGGCAGGGACGCGGCCAAAAAGGGGGGGGGGGGCGGGCGAAGGCAAAAAGGCAAGGGAAGAGCAGACGCAGCGAGGCAACGCAAAACCCACGAAGAAAAGACCCCACCCACGACCGCGAGCGAGCCGCCAGCGGAGGCGCACGGAAAAGGGGAGGCAGGACCGAGACGGAGGGCAAGGCAAGAGGGACACAGACGCAGAGAAAGGAGCAGACAACGAGAGCCGCCCGGCAAGAAGGGCCGGACCGGGGAACAAGGACCGGGAGGGGGGAAGGCACCGGAAGAAGGACAGGGAACACACAAAAGCGCCAAAACACCAGGCGACGGCAAAGGGCAGGCAAGCAAAGGCAGGCCAAGGAAGAGAAACGCAGCACCAAGCACGGGGGCACCAAAGGAGGGAACAAAGAACGAGCGACAAGCCGAACGCCAAGAAAAACCAAGAAGGCGGGGCAGCAAGCAAGCAAGGAAAAGACAAAGGGGGCGGAGAACCAACGGCCCGGGGAAGGGGACGAGGGGGCGAAGGGGAAACCGGACCCGACCGACGGAACGGAAAGAACAGGCGAGAGGCGGGACGCAGCGAGAACGCGGACGGAAGGAGCAAGAAAACGAGACGAGGGGGCAGCCGAGGGAGGCAAGGACCGGGGAGGGGGCACAGGGGCAGGGGCGGGGCGGGACGGGAAGCGGGGCAGGCGGGGGAGGGGCCCGAAGAAAGGCACGCGGCCGAGGCACCGGCCCGCGGGGCCCCAACGGGACCGGGAGGGGACCCGAACGGGGCCGGGACGGGACCGGGGCGGACCGGGACGGGCCCGGACAGGAGCGGGGCAGGCGGACGACCGCCCACCGCGCGCCCACGGGGACAAGGGGCGGAGGGCGGAACCCCGCGGGGAGGGAGGCGGGGCGCACGGGGGGGCCGCGAGGGAGGAACGCGAGGCGGGGGGAAGGAACCAGGGGGCGCCCAAACAGGGGGGCAGCGGGAAAAGACCGGGACACGCAAGACACCGGCGGAAAAGCACAACCAAGGGCAGGACACGGGGAGGGGAAGGGGGAGGCGACGAGGCAACCGACGAGGGAGGAGGGGCAGAAAGGAGGGGGCAGACCAAGGAGACGAGGGGGAACGCGGGCGAAGGACGCACAAAGGCCGGAAAAGGCAAAAGGCGAAGGAGGGAGCGGGACGCCGCCAAACCAGGGAGAGCGGGCAAGCAAAGCAGAGGACGCCGGACAAGGGGGAGGGAAGCAAGAACGACGGAGCCCGGGGGGCGAGGCAAAAAGGAAAGAGCACAGGGGGGCCAAGAGCGCAAGGGGCAGGAAGGACCCACAAGGAAAGGAGAGGACGCGGAAACGCACCGAGGCAGGCCACAACGAGAGGAGGGAACCAACGGCGCGGCAAGAAGAAAAAGAGCAGGCAAGGACACCGGCAGCAGGAAAAGGAACACAAAAGGGCACAACAAGCCGAACCGCGGAGAAGACAGGAAGGCGGACGAAGAAGGGCACGCACGAAAGAAGAGAGGAAAGGCAAGAAGAAAAAGGCAACCAAAGCGGAGCGACGCCCAAGAGACGGGGGGAAGAAGGGGGAAGGGCGCCCGAAGAGAGCGGCGGGGGGGACCAAACGGGGGCAAGACCGGGGACGCAGGAACGAAGGAAGGGGGAAAGCAGCACGGGAGAGGCCCGCAAGAGAGGAGAGAAGGAGGAAACGGGAGCCGGGGAAGCAAGGGCGAACAAGGAGCGGAAAGGCAAGCAAGGGCCAACACCAAGGAAGAAGGAGCAGCAGGGCGGCAAGACGGCGGGAGCAAAGCAGCAAACCAGAAGAGGCACGGAAAAGCGAGAACCCGGAACCCAGCCGAGCCGAAGGCCGGCCCGCCCGCGGGAAAGCGGCCCCCGCCGGAGGGCAAAACCCGGGCGACCCGGCAAACCACAGGCGGGAGGCCCGAGGGAACGAGGCCAGACAAGGGGGCAACCGCACACCCGAAGGGGCAACCGGGAAAACGGGGAGCCGAAGGCCGAAAGGCACGGGGGCCGGAGGGGGGAAACCCACGCGCGGAGCCCGGGAAACCGAAGCGGGCCCAAAAACCCAGCACACAGAGACAGACAAGGAGACAGGGGCCCCGCAGAAGACGGGCGCGAGAGGACCACCGGACGACCGGGGACGCGGGACCCCCGCAAGGAGGGCGAAGCGGCGGGGACGAAGCGGCGCGGAAGGGGGGGAGAGGGGAACACCCCGGGGGACGGCCGGCAAGCCCGGAGGAAGGAGGGAAGGAAGCCCGGAAGAAGAAGGAAAGAGGAGGGAAGGCGGGGAGGGGGCCCGGGAAGGAAGGAAGGAGGGCCACCAGGAACCGGGGACCCGGGCCGAAAGGAGAGGCGGAGGCCGAGGAGGAAGAAAGGAAGGAGGCCGGGGACGAGGCAGAGGAGGAGGAGGAGGCGCGGGAAGGAAGGAAGAGGGGCCACGAGGGACCAGGGACCCGGAGCCCGAAAACAAGGCCGGAGGCCGAGAAGGAAGAGAAGGAGGAAACCCAGACCAGGCAGGCCCGAAGGAGGAGGCGGAAAGAGAGAAAGAGGGAGAGAGAGGCACCGAGAGCGGCACCACAAGAAGCGCGCACCACACAAGAAGGGCCAAGAAGGCCCCGGAGGAGAAAGCAAGAAAGAAGAAAGCGGAAAGAAAGACCCGGCAGAGCCAAGGAAGGAAGGAAGGCGAAGAGGGAACCCAGGGCGCAACAAAACCGAGGGGCAGAGCGAGGAGGCCCCGCGGAGGAGGGCCCCAGGAGGGGGAGGGAGGAGGGGG